TGGCTAGTAGAAAAAGAAATACCATTTTCCTATATCCAGCCTTTTCTTAATGATAAAGAAGGGCTTTTTAATAGAGATTGGTAGAATAATATAAATCATATCATATGCTGGTGAAATATTTATGGCCCATATATTAACTATTCAGCTTTCCTGATAACATTTCTCACATACTGCGGAGAAGAATGGATCATTTTCTGTCATTAACACAATCTTTAGCGTCTGTGATACTATTCATAATCCATTTTAAAAAGAGAATAGGTACCATGTGAAAATCTGTGTGGATGAGAAAATGAGAGTGACCGAGTCCCATCTGATCCCCTGGTTTGGGGAAGTCACGTGCTCTGCCCAACAGGCAGAGCAACTGTGGCTACCTAATATTTATCACAGCAGCTGCTGAGATGCCGGTTTTACAAAGATACGATGTCACTGAAATCAGTGGGGCATGACCTAGTGTTAAAACAATAAATGATTAACTTAAGCTGATAGTTTCATGCAGTGTCTGAAAGCTGCCGGTTACTGCAGTGGTCCCATGAAATTTAAACTCTCCATGGCAGCCCTGTGAGCGTGAGGCAGCATCCCAGCGCCCTGGCATACAGTCTGGGAAGTGCAATCATAAGATCTAACATGGGGTTGCAGTCCAAGAAAAGAAGAGATAAGGGGAAGGCAAACTCTTTAAAGAAACTGTAGCTGAAAATTTTCCCCATCTGATGAAAGCTGATAAAAGCCGCGTGAATGGGTCAGCCTTATGTCCTAGGTTGAAACAAAACCACCACGTTCGGCACCCAACGCTGGTGAATGCATACGTACTACTTAGAAAGACAGGCTTCATCTGCTTTGTTCACTTTTTCTTCCTGCTCTTTCTGGTAACACATGCAGGGAGAGAACACTGCCTGCTACTTGGGGAAAGGGCCAGATGGGCCAGACAAGGCCAGTGGAGAAGCAACACAGAACTAGCCAGCTGTTCTGAAGAGGGGAAAGGAAGGGAGCATCCTTGGGGGCTCAAAACTGTGCAGCCCAGACCACCAGGGCAGCAGGCAATATATGCGGTGGAGACCCTACGGGGAAAACCACAGAGCTAAACAGAGAGTTTGCCTGGAGTGGCGTCAGTCCTAATCTTCCCTGATGTGTTCTCTGCTGGGGTCCGTGTGGGGAGTTAGGGAGGTGACGTACCACAGGGCTGCACAGGGCAGAACGGAAGTAAAGACACTTCCTTATCTCCTAAGTTAAAAAGGAGTAAGTTTAGTCCTCTCATTTGAAACTGAATGAAAAGGTTTTATTAAAATACTTATTTCTCCCTTCTGCAGGATTTACTTTTAGATCATTTACATCTTTCAGCAGAAAGCTACCCTGAAGTGATACCAGTGGGGAACATTCATGAAGATTCCAGTAATGACTTGTTCTGCTGTGAAATTCCAAAGTGGTGCTGTCCATGTGACCATTCCCAAAAAGCTAATCCCCTGGTAATCTAGTCACGTGACAGACAAGAACTACCCTAACAAAAAATGTTGTAAATGGTCAACACTTGATCAAAAGAGTCTAAAGAATTTGCGATTGTACTGTATTCACTCAACATGTATTTACTGAGTGATTCCTATATGCCAAACATTAGGGACACAAGTACCTTTAAGGTTTTACATAATACTGAGGGGTAACCAATGAAAAAGTGAACAAGTCAGAAAGGTAAATTCAGTTTGATAAGTGCTACCATGTAACCAAGAAGGGTGTTGTGGGCCGGCTTCTGGGTTATGGGGGCGGCCACTTCAAACAAGGCAACCAGCAAAGGCTTCTCTGACATGGTGCCTGTGTGTGTTGAGAACAGGATGCTGAGGGGCAGGCAGGCAACTGCAGACAGGCCTGCCAAGGAGGAGGAGTGAAGGCAAAGGACAGGGAAAGGAACGAGCTCGGCCTGTTCAAGGAACAGAAGGGAGACCAGTCTGGCTGGAGTGCAGGGTGGAAAAGGCGATCAAAGAAAAATAGGTTTAAGGCTTATTTCAGAGCTAAAATCAAAATGACTTACTGAGGGACTGAGTGTAGCGAGGATCTACCTATGACCGTCCAGTGGTCCCAGGACCAGAAAGCGCTAGGCTGCAATAAGTGCATTTGCCTTTTGTTTTTGACTGTTTTTAGCCATTTAGATGCTGTGAATTCTAAAACCATATTTTCCTCCGCTTTGGCCACTAGAAAGCTCAAAGCATAATCTAAAGACCAATTTTGCCAACCCTACAAAATAACATGTACCTTTTTGTGTATTAATCTCACCCTTAGGATTTTTGTAATTTTCTATCCTAATTATTTTCCATATTAATTTATTTTTCTTCTGGTAGATGGACATTAACTTAGCAAGTTACTATATGTGATCTGATGAGAAAAAGTAGTAAAAATATGTCTTTTCATCGTAGTTTGTATTAATTGTGCTGTAACTAATATATAAGAAAAGTGACAGAATGAAAATTCTATGGAAAAACTGCAAGGGGAGAATGAGTGGAAGAAAAAAAAAAAAAAAGATTCTGGATAAAAACAGAAGGGAAGGATCAAAGACAGGGAGAGGCATGGTTTCTGGAACCAGACTGCCTGCATTCCAGCCAGGCTCTAAAAATCCCCAGCTGAGTGACTGGAGCAAGTAACTGACTCCTCTGGCCTTGGTTTCCTCATCTGTGAAATGGTGACTTCAGCAAAACAGTGCCCGCCTCACAGGGCTGTTATGAGGCTTAACCTAGTTAATATCTGTAATGTGCGCGGAAAGCACTCAGTCAGTAGTAGGCACGATGTGAGTGTCTGTTAAAGGAAGTTTCAGTTCGGGATGTAAAGACAAGTAGGACTTAAACAGGTGAGAGGGTTAGAGAGCGGAACCACAGACTTGCAGACACAGGAGCAGTGTGAACAAAGGTTTGGAAGGGCAGAGCACACCCTTTAACCCAGTGGCGGTGCCGGGGGGAGGCAGGCGCTAAAGCAGGAAACCTGGCAAAGTAATGAACAAAGACCAACTGGGAGAGAGGTCTTAAGAGAAAGTACAGAAGGGCAACTGAATGCCTCTTAGAGGAACATGAATTTCACACTGTAGAAAACAGAGTATTTGAACGATCTGGTGCCACGCCAGCCCACAATCACATGGAGGGAAGGAGGCGGTGCCTGGCTCCTTGGCACGTGGGGAGCGGAAGTGCCCCACGTCAGGTGTTGGATCAGCACGAACTAGCCACTGCTCCACAGGCGAACCACTGGGTCTGAAGTGTGACCTGAACGGTAATTCCATCCCAAAATACCCACTACCAAAGCAATGGAAAAGCTCAAAATGGCAAGCAGGGTATAGGCTGCCACCAAGAGGAATAATTTTTCACCTGGGCAGATGGAGGTATCTCTCCAGATACTACACTCCCTCAAAACAGAAAGTTTCTGCCTTCCTTGTCGATTCATAACATAACATTTTCAACTTAACTGAAAATGAGACAACTAGATTAGAAGTTACCTTCAGCAAAAATGGAAGACCTGGTCTAAGGAACAGGGCATCCCCTAAATGGTGGCACTGCACGTGCTCTATTATCTATATTCTCTATCCAAGGGATATCCGTTCTGTGAATGTTGCCTGATTTAGAGAAAAGGGCCTTTGCAGATGTGACGTTAGGTCGAGAATCCTGAGATGGAAACACTACCCTGGGTCACCCAGGTGGACTCCAAATACAGTCCCATGCATCCCCATGTGAGGGAGGCAACTGGAGATGCGAGAAGGCAGCGCTAAGAAGGAGACAGAGCAGAGTGCGATGGCCTCAAGTCAAGGACCGCCTACAGGCACCAGAAGCTGGGAGCGTCACCACGACGTCCCCCCTACAGCCTCCAGGGGGAACAGCGGTCAGTACCTTGATTTTAGCCTAGTAAAGCTGATTTCAGACATCTAGCCTCCAGAACTATGACCAATTTCTATTGCTTAAAGCCACCAAATTTGTGGTAATTCATTGTAACAGCCACTGGAAACGAATATAGCAAATACGTAATTTCCTATGATTGCAAGTAAATTATTTAACAGGAGAAATGGAAATGATAGAGATTTACCGTTTACTGAACAGCTACATAAATTATTTCATTAAATCATCATCAGCAATCCTATTATTATTAGCCTGTTTTTTACAGAGAAAACCCACCTGGTACCATGCCCAGATCTGTGTTCCTTTTACATTGCAATAACACCTGTCTGTAACTGCTCTGACAGCGAGTCGATCAGCACTCAGCAGGGGGACTCACTCTTTATTCCTCCAAAGGAACTTGGATAAATGGAAGAAACCTATTTTAAATTATTTCATGCAAAACTCTACCTGAAAAAATATATACAGTCACCAGTGAAAAAAAGTCTGTGTTACTAATTTCCACTGAGTTCTTCTGGGGGCAAAAATGCAAAAATTAAAAATAATTTTCAAATAAGTTTGAGAGTCACGTCTCAATTTATAGTTTGCTTCAATTGACTTACGAATTCATTAACATATTTTTCATGATAAAAGCAGTCGTGATTCCGAGACAGAAATAAAAATTCGGTGTGCCTGGACAAGCTTCGGAGTTTCAGATACCACAGAGCATTTACACGGCATAAAAGGACAACGAGCATCGGGACACTCACCTGGTACCTGACACTGCTCAACACTGGAGATGCGGCAATGAACTAGCCTGGTACTGTCTGCGCTCACTGGGAAAACACAAGCTTCCACTATCTCCATTTGTGCATCAAAGCTATGACTTACATTCAAAGAATTAGGGGATTAATAACATGAGGGTGATTAAATAAACTTATCTACAGTCATTAGCTAGTAAGTGGTACAGGTAATATTTAAGGCCAGGAATACCTCAGTCCACAGTGAATCCTCTTAATACGACACCATATTGCCTGAATGTATTCCTATAGGCTTTGTACCAATACACTGGTAAAGTCGCTTGCCCGTTAAAAAAGGAAACATTAAAACTGTTGCCATCGTACCCTGTTCTAACAACAAACAGGTAAGTCAATTAATCACACCTACCTGGTTATTGCTGGGGTTGGTACACCTCTTGTACGCAAGGTAGGTTTCCCTCGAACAACTGGTACATCTGCATTTTCTGAACCACCATTCAAATATGTTAATTCCTGGAGCTGTGCTTGCCTGATTTCATCATTATAGTCCTACACAAAAGACAGAAGATAACAAAGAATTCAGGACATGAAGCAAATAATTTTTAATAGGAAAAAAAAAAAGGTAAGGAAAATAGTTAAATTCATAAAACAAGACTTGAGTTTGTTGAAATGAAAATTTATCAATAAATTGTTGTAAAAAGAAAAAAAAAACCGTATTTTTCCCCTAAACTAGAATTTTCTACAGTCAGCCATATCTCCTTCTGCTGTGCATACTTTCCAAGTGAAATATTTATAATAAAATTAAAATGGCACGTAACTGATATATGGACATTATTATTTACAACTCAATCAACCAGTAGTTACAGAGAGCCTAGTTTAGCCAGAACTATCTCAAGAAAGAAGAACGAAGTTGGAAGACTGGTATGTTCTCATTTCAAAACTTACTATAAAGCTATAATAATGGAGAATGTATGGTACTGCCTTAAAAGGTAGACATAAAGATCAATGAAATAGAATTGAGAGCCCAGTTATCCATTATAGTCAATTGATTTTCAAATAGTCTCTAACAAATGGTGCTGTAACAAATGAATATCCACATCAAAAAAATAAGATGGGCCCAAAATACACAAAAATTATATCAAAATGGATCAGAGACCTAAATGTAAGAGCTAAAACTGTAAAACTCTTGAAAGAAAACGTGAAAGTAAATTTTCATGATCCTGTATTACATAATGATTTCTTAGCTAAGATACCAAAAGCACAAATGAAAAAACAGTCAAATTGGACCAAGTCAAAATTTAAAACTATTGTGCCACAAAAATACCATCAAAAAAGTCAAAATACAGCCCACAAAACAGAAGAAAATATTTTGAAATCCTATTACCTGATAAGCAACTTGTATTCATAATACATGAAGAACTCTCACAGCTCAATAATAAAAGGACACATAACCTAATTTTGAAAGGATAAATGATTTGAATAGGCATTTCTCTCTAAGAAAAACAGAAAGTAAGCCCAAGAAAAGAAGCTCGACATTATTAGTTATTATGGAAATGCAAACAAAAAACACAATGAAATACCACGAACATACTCCCTAGGATAGCAGTAATCAAAGAGATAAGCAATATCAAGTGTTGGTAAGATTGCAGAGATATTGAAACCCTTACAACTTTCTGGTGGCAATGTAAAATGGTCCAGCCACTTCGGAAAACCACGTAGTAGCTCCTCAAAAATGCTGAACAAAGAGTTACCATATGACCTGGCAAATCCATTCCTAGGTAATACCCAAGAAAATGAAAACATATATTCATGCAAAAATGTGTGTTCACAGCAGTATTAGTCATAATAGCCCCAAAGTAGAAACAACCCCAAAGTCCTCAACTGATAAGTGGACATATAAAATGTGGTATATTGTAAAATGGAGTATTATTCAGCAATAAAAAGCAACTTGAATGAACCTTGATAACAGTATGTTAAGTGAAAGAAGTCAGGGCAAAAGACTACACATACTGTACGTGTTTTATATGAAATGTCAAAAAAACCCAGGGAAACCTAGAAAGAGAAATTAGTGGCGATGTAAGCCAGAGGAGTGTGAGAAGGTAGGGGAGCCAAGTGGGAGGGACCGCTAATGGCTATGGAGTTCCTTTGGGGGATGATAAAAATCTAAACCAGTTGGTAGTCATGGTTACAAAACTGTGAATATACAATAATCCAGTGAACTGTATACCTTATGGGTAAACTGTATGGTATCTGAATTATATCTCCATAAAAGCTGTGTAAAAAGAACAAAAACTAATTAGTGGTTGCCAAAGGTGGGAGAAGAATGGGGAGTGACGGCTGTTGGTTACAAGGTTCATTTTGGGAGGCAATACAAATGGCCCAGCTGAGATTAGGGGGACAGCTGCAGAACTCTGCGAATATACTAAAAGGCACTGAACTGTATACTTTATATGAGAGAATTTTATGCCATGTGATTTATATCTCAATAAAGATATTAAAAGGAAAAAACAACACACCGGAGGCAGAAACACCAGATGGAAGCACTTAAGTAATCCCAGTACGTGGTAAAGATGGCCTGGAGTAGGGAAGTGGCAGGAAGGATGGTGACAGGTAGATATGGAGTTATTTATAATGCCTAATTTTATTAGAAATGGTAAAATATTGGATATGGGGGTATATGAACAAAGTCAAGAAGTTTGACTGGTTTCTGGAAGATAAGGAGAGTAACAAAGTGACATCATGATTTAATCAATTTTGTACAGGTCGAGTCTGCAATGGTCTATAGCACACAAAAATTGAGCTGTTGTAGAGCAATCAGACATAGGAACTGGAAATTCAGAAGTTAAAGATATGGATACAGAAGTGGGAAGGAAGGCCGCACACATTACAGAGAAGGGTGTGTCATCCCAGCTGGCCCTTGGCAGGCTCCTGGCAGATAACCTCTGAATCCGTGGTGGGTTCTGCCTACTAACAGTATGCTCCTTACCATTTTACTAAAAACGTGTGATTAATAAATTATTTTTAAAGCACATTCTAAATAAAATGTGCTACCTAAATGCTGAATATTGGCCCTGTTGAAAAGTGTTAGGAGGCAGGACATAAAATTGTATGTGGTTAAAAATTGATTCATGGGAAAAGAAGATAACTGAGGCCCTATTCAAAAATACAATTAAAAATTTAAAAAGAAAAATAAAAAAAAGAAAAGCATTGCTCTAAGTAAAGTTAGGTAATTTACAATGGTGCCACGAAAACTAGAATTAAAGCCTATTTTAAACATCATCTGTGTAAAAGTACATTACAGCAGATAGTGTAGTTAGGAGGGAAAAAAAAACCCCAAAAAGCAAAAAAATGGAATCTGAGTCAATCGCATCTGAGGTTAAGACTGAATTTACCCAATCGGGCTGACCAGCTATGTGATTTTAGACAACTTCTTTAAATGTGAGGTAACTGTTTCTTCTGAGGTCAGATAGACACTATTGACATACACACTGTAGTTACAATTTTATTGGTCTTTGAAATAATGTTTTAGATCAGTAGGGAAACCAAATCACATATGGTAGCTTATAGATTAAATTATTTTTACAATTTTACATTTTAAACTAGTCACTAGTAAATTATCACTTCAACTCCCCACCTGAAAAGTGAAACTATTATAACATTAACACCAACACTATCACCAATTGTGAAGAGTAGAAAATTGATTAGAATTCTAATTAAATATGTGTAAATGGGATTTCTCTAGCCAGTAAGTTTAGGATCTATCTAAATGTGTTAGCCTGGAGAATAGGAAAAAAGTCTTAAAATAAAATCATTAAAAGTAATTTATTAAAAATTCAGTGGGTTCTCTAACTAGCCAGAGATGTACTCTTCAGACATATTTGCCCAAATATGCTAATATTTATGTCCAAGGTTAATCCTGGGATCACTGTTTGAATTATAATCTTTAAGAAGTAAGTGTCCATTATTTGAAGACTAATTAAATAAATTCTGGAACACGCATATAATGAAACATTATGCAGACATGAAAAAGAATGAAGTGAAACTTTACATATGCTCGTATGGACAGAGATCCAAAACAACCTAAGTTTAAAAAAAAAAAAAAAATGAAAGGTTATGAGAGAGCACAGGACTTTCAGGATAACTAAGCAAGGAGCTCAGCAAAGCCTTTCCATAAAAAGCAACAGTAAAGGCTGACCAAACAGTTAAAAACGACCGCTTCGGGACTCTGGAAAGGAGAGTGGGAGTCTGTGGCAATCTTGTGCTCCCACCCCTCCTCCCCAGCCCAGATGACGCAGAAGTTCCACAAGGATGGGGAAAGCCCTGAAAACCAGTGACGGATGTTCACGTAATTTTGAAGAAAGTGTGAAATGACTCCATGCCCAGCAGCACTGTCAACATCAGTAGCAATTCTGATAGCAAATGAATAGAGGAGACCAGTCAATCAGCAAGCCGAATAATCACGTTCTGGGTGGGGCGAGCAACAAACAGACTGGCCAATTAGCCAGAAATTTAACAGCCTGGAGAGCCTCGATAAGCTCTCTGCACGTCTCCGCCTGCTGAAGAGAGGGCTATGCACACGTACAGCAGAGAACGGAGAAAGCTAAAGTGCCCCGCACCTCCTCGCCTGTGTACGTACAAAGGAGACACAAGGATTCCTGGCAGAAAGGAGAAGCCAGGGCAGACTGGAAAACTGAGTAGCCTTTGGATGTACTCCCCAATGCACACCCAGTTCCATCAGCAGAGGGGGGAAGCCTTACTGACACAGGTGTCTGAGCACACCCTCTGACCAACCACTGGCTGATCTCTCAGCAATGCTGACCCAGAGAAAAATCCTAGCAGGCCAGGCTTCAAAATAAAAGTGAGAAGGAAAAAAATTAACAAAACTTTAAACCATGAAGGAGACAGACTGCAGATTTAGTCCAACTAAATTATTAAAGAAAAAAAAAAAACCTGCAACAATAACCCTCTGGGAATAAAGTGAATCAGAATCCGATTTACTACAATACATTACTTAAAATGTGGTGTTCTCAACAAAAACCTAAGAGACATGAAAAGAAACAGGAAAATGTCACCTATACCCAGGGCAGGAAGAAACTGCCTAGGAGAGGGCCCAAATCTGGACCAGCAAAAAAAAAGAGATTAAAAAAATCCACAATAACTACAATGTAAAGTTAATCAGAGGAGCTCAACAGCAGATTTAAGATGGCAGACGAATGAATCAGTGAACTTGAAGTTAATTAAAAGTATTCAATCTGAAAAACACAGAGAAAAATGGATGAAGAAAAATGAGCCTCAGAGATCTGTGGGGCACCATCAAATGTACCAACATACATATAATGGGAATCCAGGGGTTGGGGGTGGTGGAGGAGGAAGAGAAAGGCAGAGAAATTTTAAAGAAACAATGGTTGAAAACTACCCACACATTTGAAGAAAAACATAAACCCACATATTCGCTTGAGATAAACATGTACACCACAGTCAAATAGTGGAAAATCAAAGATAAAAAGAAAGTCTGAGCAACAGCAAGAGAAAAACAACAGATTACATACAAAACCACAAAATAATTAATGACTCTTCACATCAAAAATAGTAGAGGCCAGAAAATAGAAGAATGGCCTCCTACCACATAAAAGAAAAAACCGTCGACCAAGAGTTATACACAGGTATACTCCGGAGGTATTGCAGATTTGGTTCCAGACCACTGCAATAAGGCAAATATTGAAATAAAGCCAGTCGTACGAATTTTTTAGCTTCCCAGTGCATATAAAAGTTATAGTTAACACTATACTGTAGTCTATTAGTGTGCAATACCATTATGTCTTAAAAAAAAAAGTACTTACCTTAATTAAAAAATACTGCTAAAAAATACTAACCATTATTTGAGCCTTCAGTTGAGTCACAGTAGTAACATCAAAGATCACTGATCACAGATCACCATAACAGATATAAAATTAGTAAAAACATTTGAGATATTGTGAGAATTACCAAAATGTGACACAGAGACACGACGGGAACAAATGCTATTGGAAAAATGATGCCAAGACTTGCCTGACACAGGGTTGCCATAAACCTTCAATTTGTTAAAAAAAAAACAACACACAAAACAAACACAGTATCTCTGAAGCACAATAAAGTGAAGCGCAATAAAAAGAGGTACGTTTGTAAGCTAAACTTTAGGATATAGGTGAAATAAAGACATGCCGAGAAAAAAACTTTTTTTGCTAGCAGACCTATGTTACAAAAAAGACTAAAGGAAGTCTTTCAGGCTGAAAACAAGTAACACCATATGTCAACTCTATCCGCATAAAGAAACAAAGAGCACCAGAAATGCTAGATGTGTGCTTTAACAGAAACGTCTATAAAAATACTGTACTACAAGCCAATATCCCTCATGATTATAGATGTAATAATCATTAAACTATTAGGGTTTTTTATATGTTTCCAGCAACATATAAAAGGGGTTACATATCACGACCAAGTAGAGTTACACCTGGGACTGCAAAGCTGGCCTGACATCTGAAATCACAAATGCAATACGCCGTTATTAACGGAATGAAGAAGAAAAGCCACGTGAGGGGCTCAATGGACAGAAGAGCAGTTAGCACAGCCCAACACCCATTTGTGACTAAAACAAACCAACAAACCCAAACCTCTTACCACCAGGCACAGAAGAGAACTTCTTCAACGTGATAAAGGGCAGCAAAAGAAACCCCACAGTTAACATCACACTTCACGGTAAAAGACTGAAAACTAGGAAAGGGTGTCTATCCTCACTTCTACTCAACAATGCACTGAAAGTTCTAGTCAGTGTAATAAGGAAGAAAATAAAATTAAATAAGAAATTAAAGGCATCAGATATGAAAGGAAGAAGTAAAGCTTTCTTTATTCACAGATCACATGATTCTGTATGTAGAAAATCCTGATAATTCCATTAAACACACACACACTGAAACTAATAAACACATTCAGCAAAGTCACAAGGTACAAACAAGATCAACTGCATTTCTATACACAAGTAACCACCTGAAAATGAAATTAAAAAAAAAAAATTCCGTTCACAATAACATCAAAAAGTATATAATACTTAGAAATAAATTTAACAAAAGAAATGCAAGCCTGGTATCCTGAAAACTATAAAACACTGCTGAGAAAAAATTTTAATATCTCTTAAAAAAATGGAGAGACGTTTCGTGTTCATGGACAAGAAGGTGCAATATTGTTAGGATGGAAAATTACCCCCAAATTGACTTATAAGTTCAACGCACTATCAAAACCCTAGCAAGGTTTTTTTTTTTTGGTAGAAATTGACAAGCTGAATGTAAAATATACATAAAAATGCGAAGGAGCCAGAATAGCCAAAACAAGTTTGAAAAAGAAGAACAAAGTTGCAGAACTTACACAACCTGGATTTCAAAATTTGCTGTAAGGCTGAAGTAATTAAGAGTATGGTACTGGCGTAAGGACAGGTATATAAATCAATGGAACAGAACTGAGAATTCTGAAATAAATTCATACATTTATATTCAGTTAATCTTCAACAATAGTGCCAAGGCAATTCAATAGGGACAGAATTGTCTTTAACATATGGTGCTGGGACAACTGGATATCTACATAGAAAAAGATATATTTAGATCCTAATCTAACACCATACACAAAAAGTAACTTCAAGTGGATCATAGAGTTCAATGCAAGAGCTAATACCATAAAACATTAAGAAGAAAACACAGCAGAAATTCTTGGCGACCTTGGGTTAGGCCAAGAGTTTTCTGGCCAGCTCAGATTCAAGGTGAAAGAAGTTCGAGCCTACCTCTTGGTGGAAGAGTGAGAAGTGATGGGGTGGGAGGACGGCTGCTGCTACCTTTGGAGAACAGAGTCTGTCCTACTTGGCTAAGCCGGCACTCCCTCGTCCACACTGAATGACCACAAGGACATTAAACGTCTCCTTGGTCTTGTCAGTTACAATTTTAAAGTCATTTATATAAATATCTGATTCCTACCTGTCTCTCCCATTATATAAACTCCATAAGGGCAGGGGCCATGTCTTTTATTAGTCCACATGTGTCTATCAAATAGAGAGCACTCAAAAGCTCTGTTTTTAAACTAAATGAATAATAGGATCTTCACACTGGCTTGAGGGAACTAATGAAAACTCTGTTAAGCTCCCAAATTAAAATACTTAATATGGTCTTATGCCCTGGCTTTTCCAAGACAATCATGATTTAAAACGTCCTTTCCCTATAAATGTGACAGTCTTCCTCACAGATAACATAATCGTGACACATCCTACAGTAGGTAAGTCAATCTACTACACCACTGGGAATCGCTGAACACAGTCTTATCCCAGACAGCTGTTTGGCAGATGTGACAGTTTCTCTAAAATAAACTGTCTGAAGAACCAATGTGTTCCAGTTTTTGTTTTTTAAATCTAGAACATGCAAATTATACAAAAGACCGAAATTAACTTTTGTAATGGAAATAGGGACAAATTCTCTTCAAATTATCACATTCTCAGCAATGTCAGGGTGTCTGAAAAGGATTAAAAAAGACCATCAACTGTTAACAAAAACATAAACACCCACACAGTGCCTTCCTCTCTGTGCCCGCCGCTCCGACACCATCAAGCATTCCTCACGCTGCACAGAAACCACGTGCTTCTCCCCTAAACCACACAAGCCTCCTGTGGGGCTGCGCTTACTCACGCGACACACCAACACTGAGCACAGCACTCGGCACGTGGACCGCACCAACGAGCGCCCGCTCAAGAGCAACGAATTTGTGAAGTGACTGAGTGTCACAGCAAGGCTCAGGGCCTGAGACCCCAAAGGCACACCGGTGACCGTGCTCTTCAACTTTCTTGCAGTATTACCTAATCTCTTTAAAAATCCCTGGCCTCACAGGTAAAGAAGGAATGATGCCAAGTAATTCACAGGGACACTGTAACAGACAAAGCGCTATGCAAATAACAATTACTGATAAGAACCGTCAAGGATTAAAACAAAGGGAGGACTTTAAAGTACAAATTAACTATCAAGAAAAACTGTACTCACCGGAATGAGGAACTTTTTGATTTCCTCCAGAGCATGTCCCATACGGGCATAGGCTTCTGCTGGCGGGGCAAACACTTCAATCAGAACATGGAGATCATCATTGAGGTGGAAGTACTTTGCTTCTCCACTTTTCCTCAACTCTTCTTCCTGAAAAAAGAAAAACCATGTTTAAAAGGGGGTCACTGTAAGAAAAGAAAAAGAAAAGAAAAACTACCCGAGCTTATCTGGCACGTGGTTATCACAAGAGGTTCACCCAACAGCAAACACCACCTAAGGAAGAAAGTTTCAAACATAAATCTGATCTTGCTGTCCCCAGGCCTTTATGGAGACCCCAAAGGCTTCCTGCTGCTGTAGGAGGGGTCTCAAGTCCTGCCTCTGGCCCAGGAGTCCTCCGGCCATCTCCCCAAGGCCACGCGCTCTGCAGCCTACCCGGCCCAACCCCTCCAGGCACTGCAGAGAACCGCTTCGTGTTCCTCAGACTGGCCAAGCAACCAAGCTCACTTCTGCACTGGCTACCCTGTGTGCCCCTGAGCTGTCACAAAGCATTTACCACTATCTAAAATGCCTTACTTTTTGCTCGTCCATTTTCTAATTTTTCTCACTTAAGGTGATCACCATGGAGCAGAACCCATGATTGTCTTGTTTGGGGCTGCATGCTCCTTGTCTAGAAAAGTGCTTGGTAGATAGTAGATGCTCAACAAATATTTTTGAATGAATAGGTAAATATTATTTATTCATTTCTATGTTCATTTGCTCATTCATACAAAAAACCATTTCTACATGCCAGGCACTATATCTGAGAATAAAACAATGAATAAAATAAATGAAAAATTTTGTTATAGGATTTTATATGATTATGAGAAACATTTAAAAAAATTTTGGTGGATATAATGAAATTCAGGGGGGAAAAAACCCCAGATCATTAAGAGACCACTAACTTTGCTCCATTATCTTTTTCTAACAAGCCTTTGTTAGAGTAGCAATTACAGAATCGGGTTCTTTTAATAGTCTTTGTTCTCAACATTAAAATCAGACAGAGAGATTAAGATTAGTAGGAACCTACACCTAGAGTGATTTCTAAACGGCAGGAAACCTTCCTAGCCTCTCCAAAACCCACCCCGTAAGAGAGAGAACCCATGAATTCCTGGCAACAGCACCTGTTGATTCCAAAATTAGCCAAGAGGATGAGGAGGCACACAGGCCCTTGACTTCACCCCTTAAGGCTTCAACTTTTGTTACTTAACTAATCTGAATTTTTACAAAGAAAAGACATATCAAAATAAAGAGCATGAAAAGGGCAGGGGATTTAGAGTTAGATAAACCTGAATTTTAGCCATGGTGGTCACCAGGTATGTGTGTGAGTTTGAACAAGTTATATGTAATCCAACACTTAGTCTGCAAAATCAATTTGGGGTTAACACATGTATATTAATGTAGGTCCACTGAGAAGACTACAAAGGCAGCTTGTGTAAAGGCCTGGCCCAGGAGACAGTGTATATATAGTGCCCAGGACACTGCCTTCTACGTGGCAGGCACTCAGTAAATGCTAGTTTCCTTCACATTTATGGAAAGTGGGCCAGAAACTGAAAGAAAAATATTTTTGAAGGGAGAGCAAACATAAGCTACCATAATATCCTACGCATTTCCTTCAAAATTTGTCAAGTATGAAAAGGACTATTGGGACTTCCCTGGTGGCGCAGTGGTTAAGAATCCGCCTGCCAATGCAGGCAGGGGACACGGGTTTGAGCCCTGGTCCGGGAAGATCCCACATGCCGCGGAGCAACTAAGCCCAAGCGCCACAACTACTGAGTCGGCACTCTAGAGCCCGCAAGCCACAACTACTGAGTCCGTGCGCCACAGCTACTGAAGCCTGCATGCCTAGAGCCCGTGCTCCACAGTAAGGGAAGCCACCGCAATGAGAAGCCCGCGCACCGCAACAAGAGTAGACCCCGCTCGCCACAACTAGAGAAAGCCCACGCGCAGCAACGAAGACCCAACGCAGCCAAAAATAAATAAATTTAAAAAAAAAAAAGAAAAGGACTATACTTTCATGCCAACGGTGGACTAGTTCTTGTTCTAATCGGAACATTTTCAATCATTTGATCTGACTCTGCCTTTCACAGCTGAAGTTTTAGAAACTGGATTCTATGCACAGTAGTTCATCTTTGAAAGCATGAACTACTGAAATGAACATTTCTTATCTTTTTCTAATATGGCACCAAACTAATGCTTTTAATGAGAGGTTATAATTGTTGATTCATAGGCAAACATTCTCATTGCTATTACAAACCTAAGCTGGAACAGGAAGGCCTTCTTACCATAACCACAGCTGTCACGCAGCTCCATAGACTGAGCAGTTATGAATGGGTTACTTCTTGGGTTAATGATGAGAGGCAATGCAGTGTTTGGGGAAGAACACAGACTGTGTTTGAAGTGCTGCTTTCAAACCCCAAATCCAACGACTGGTGACGTTACTTTATCCCCATCTTGAAGAGGTGATTTTAAAATGGATAATAATAGCGTGGTACCTACTGCTCAAAGGGTTGTTGTAGTAATAAAGGAGTGATTATAACAGTCATTAGGAGTTATTAGTAATAAAGGAATTGTAGTAATTCGAAAGACACAGGAAGTCTTTAGAATTATGCCTACCACGTAATAAGCACTCAAATGATAAATATAGTAATGATAACTATTATTACATAACAACAGTATTAATTATTCTATTATTCTGTAATATAGATGAGGTGGGCAAAACGTCTAGCATGTTTGGCACAAACTGAAGGCTCCACAGACCGCAGCATTATAGTGATTATTGTGCTACGTAACCACCTGATACCTGTCAGCAATGACTCCTATAATATCGTCAATGTAGCAAATACAAGAAGAAAATGATTATGTTCACATTAGAATTTAAATGGTGAACACTGAAAATCTAAAAGGATGAGATTTTAGTACTAAGGAATGGAAATCTCTTTAGAAATAAACACTGTTAACTGAGAATTTTCTGTAGACTAAAAATTAGTAAAAAGGATCAACTGAAATCAGTATTCAAGAGTTCAGGCAGTGAGGATCTGATTACGATACAGCAGATGGGACACCTGTCTACTTAAATTATCACCTGTGGTTACTGTCAGTGAAATGCTTTTGAAGGTGTAACTGATGGACCACCTGGCACAGCATGACGGGCGAGGAGGAGACACGGTGGGCCGGGTGGGGTGAAAGGGGCTGTTCCTACTGTACTGAAGAACTTAAAGAAGGACATGACAGACTCAGCACGCGGCATTATCAGTCCAAGACCCACAGAGCCAGAAGCATCCCGGAAGATTCTACTGCTTATGGCCACAGGCTGATGGAGTCAACAGACCAGGCAGAGTTCAGGCGTGTGCTAACGACCAGCACGTTGCCTGGTCATCGCTATGGGAGGCTTAGGACGGTGTCCGGAGGACAGTGAAAATCTGGGAGCTGGACTGGCAACATTTGGAAAGATTCAAATAACTCTGAGTATACAAACGCTAAAGTCCCACTGAGCCTTCCACACTGGCAGAAGCCTGTCTCGAACAGCCAAGGTAGTTCCTTGAAAGGAGATGACAATTCTCATGCTTTACTACTGCTACCCTTTATCATCTCCTGGCCTAAGATCAGATCCCTGCTTGCCCCAGAGATGCAGAGAACAAAAGAGCTAAGCTAAATCTAGAGGAGAAGGCTGCGTGAGTATAGTAACTGTAACGTCTCCTGGTGTGTATGCACTGGACGCTTCCTCCCAGTCTTCCCAGTAAGGATCTGGGAGCTTTTACTAGAATGACTGCACACTGAGATGAAGAAACACTCATGCAGTTTGAGGATTCACAGACTAGGCTCTGAGCAAATGCTGCCCCACTGAAGGCCGCCGATGGAAGTGGGGTTTAGGGGCCGAGAGGTGAAGGGCTTCTGCTCCCAGGCCGTTGACCGTGGGCCCAATGGACTACGCTACTTCCTCAGTTTCTAGGTGTCTTGATGGAACGTAAATGATCAGCCACTTGCAGAATCCCCCTGTTGACTTGCTGACCCATGCGGTCAAGGACACAGAAATGAGAAGATTAGTGAAGGGGTGATAAGTGGTCTGGGAAGAGGCCCAAGTGTGTAAGAACAGGGAGCCCCACGTGAGGCAGAGCATGCACTCAGTGACCAGGCAGCCAAGGGGACCCACTGCTGCAGACGTCAAAGCACCTCATTCCCCAGCCACCTCAATGCTACTCAAAGGACTCGTGAACAAAGTACCTATGGTGACAGGGAAAGAGGTCTTGTTTTTGTTGGTTTGTTTTAATTTTTATTGGGGTACAGTTGCTTCACAATGTTGTGTTAGTTTCTGCTGTACAGCAAAGTGAATCAGTTATATGTATACATATATCCACTCTTTTTTAGGTTTCCTTCCCATTTAGGTCACCACAGAGCACTGAGTAGAGTTCCCTGTGCTATACAGTAGGTTCTCATCAGTTACCTATTTTATATGTAGTAGCGTGTATACGTCAATCCCAATCTCCCAGTTCATCCCACCCTCACAGGGAGAGCGGTTATGCATTACTCCACAACACGGATTCCCCTCAAAAAGGATTCCAGGCTACTGCCACTGCTGAGTGTCTAATATGCCAGCAGCAGAGAACCACCACCAGCCCTCAAAATGGCAATATGGCCTGGGAGGACCACCCAGCCCTGCTATGCTATTTAGCATCCCTTTCATTAAATGCACAGCCAGGCACTTGCTAGTTTTGGACATATAATCTGGCTAAAGACTTGCCTTCCCTGCTTCCCTTCTACCTGTAAAAGGATCTTTGGGGGCTCTGATCACTGCCGCCAGAGCACAAAATGTTCCTTCTCACCAAGGAACTCCCTTAATAACAAACAAGAGCAGCACAAAGTCTATGGGCTTCACTGGTCATATCATGGACCTCATTACCAGATGGCCTTCCTGAAAACTTAATTAAGATATCAGCAAGGATGGGATACTTTCCAACAAGATACACATAATTTCTGACCAACTGACCAATATACAGTTCCACTTGCTCCTACTGCCAGAATAGATGAGTCAGGGAACCAGAGTAACATCATTTGAGACAGTGATGTTTAGTGAGCAGTCAACCTAACCTGGCCATGCATTAGAATCTTTTAAACACCTACTGGAAATTCATTTTGAGGTTTCACCCTAAACAGGTTGGTGCATGGGACTCTCTCTCTCTCTCTCTCTCTCTCTCTAGATATATATATACACACACGCACACATACACACACACACACACACACATAATTTTGGCCACGCTGCGCAGCATGCAGGCAGGATCTTAGTTCCCCGACCAGGGACTGAACCCATGCCCCCTGCAGTGGAAGCGCAGAATCTTAACCACTGGACCACCAGGGAAGTCCGGGACTCTATATTTTTAAACAGCATCCCATGTGAGTCTGACATATAGCCATGTTTTAATCAAATAATATAATGAACTTCCCTGATTAATCCAATAATATATTTACTTTCTCTGAATCTCACTTTTCTTGCATACAATAAGGAAAATGTTATGTATCTGTCGCCGTTTTTCCAAGGGTAACATGGAGTAACGCACGTAAAATGCCTCACAGAGTACCTGACTCACAGCGGCTGCTCAATAAACAAATGGTGGCTTTTCGTTAACTATAAAAGCTACTGTTAAATGGGCTTATTGTGAGGAGGCTGGATTTTGCCTAAATAACTTTTTTTCTAACACAATCATTTCATGGAAAGTGATCACTCAATGTGGATTTTGTTCTCTGTAGTATAAATCTTTTTAATAATGAGAGAACAACAAAGTAATAATAGAACTACATAAGCGACAGCACATTATGAAATGTGAAAATTTCTTTCAGAATTGGTATATTTAAGAAAGTGATCAATAAAAATAACTCAGTAATTTTAGCTTATTTAGAAGAGGAGGCAGTTATGTGAATACATGCACGAAGAACAACTATGTGTTAGAATAGGAAGTAATTATTAAAACATTTACAATCAATTTTAACTTGGTAAAATGCATAGGATATCAAAAGAAAGGCAAAAAGGGCAAATAAAAGCATATACTTTATAAAGTCAACAATATGAAACACAGGTGTAGAAAAAAAGACCTGAAAGAACTAATCTAAAATGCAAATAGTAATGGTGAGACTATAGATAACTTTCATTTCTCTTCATGGTAATTTCAATACCACTGTACTTTCTAGAAGGTATTGCTCCTAGAATCAAAAGCACAGGTGCTACAATTTCACTCTATACATAAAAATAATAGTTACAGATTTGGTTTAAGGTACTACATATTCTGAAACTGGCCAGAGTGACCGAATTTTCTAAATAGTATCACAAATATATCACTATATATAGCATTTTCACATAATTTCATTTGAGGTCCTAGTTAGCTTTTATATCATATGTACTAATACCATGGATGATCTCAAAGTACATTATATAACTTGACTAAAAAGTAGCCATTGTTTATAATAAGTATTACCTTTGCCTTGTCTCTCATGGAGCCTTTTCCAAGGATGGACATTTTTGTCAAGGTTTCTTCTTGCAAGCGCTTCAGAGAATTGCCACGTGGCCCCAAAAGTTTTCCCACAAAGTTGAACTAGGAGAAACAAAAGGACAGATTTGTAACATTCGTATCTGAGGAAAATAATTTATTTCTTGAATTTTAGGAAACACTGCAGTCAGTATGCTACACATCATTGACTAACGACAAGTATTTAAGTTACTGCTACATGCATCACCCTATAATGTTTCCCACAAACCACATAAAACAGGGCTAAAACAAACAAACAAAGGACGTATTTCTTTCTACCAAATCACTTCAGTGATGGCTGTATTTTACAAATTGTACCAATAAATGAAGTTAATTCCCAGAATTCCTTAGTTGCCATCCTGACAATTTCAGCACACATTCAACATTAACCACGAACAGTGCTGGAATTAGACTGTTGGTGAGGAAAAACGACACCAAGTGTCCTGTAATGTGCACTAAACTGGTCACCATGGAGTGTCTGGGTTCTTCTACCTGGTCAACACTTAAGCCTCAGTTAATCAACCACTGAGTGCACTGGCCTAGATGAGCGCTACGCCTTCAGTGGCTGACCAAGGCTTTATGACAAAATCCACCTGTCTACCTATCTATCTATCTATCTATCTATCTATCTATCTATCTATCTATCTATTTAGCCTAGATGCGGAGGACTCTTTAGTCAGCATGCAGAGTAGCAGTGAATTAATTAAGGGTACTACGGACTCTGAGGATAGACTGCCATGGTTGTAAAACCTGGCTTTTCCATTTTCTTGCTGAGTGACCCTGGGCTCGGGGTCACTAGGCCTTGGTTTCCTCATCTGTAAAGTGGGAATAATGAAGGGCAATAGGACCTACCCTTGCAGGGTATTTTGAGGATTAAATGGGTCAACATAAACAAATCATTTAGAACAACGTTTAGCACATTAATAGAGAATAAATACATACAACTGAATGAAATAATTATTGATAGGAATTTCACACAACTTCTAAAAGCCTTACAATAATTATGAATTCTTCTTGCTTCCAAATAGAAAGTCAGCCCTATTTACCACGAGAGAAACTGTTCTCTTTGGCAGGATTCTTGATCACAAACTCACGTGGTTGCTGCTGTGATATCAGCCACCTTCCATGAGCCATGCCACTGCTGTGCTGTTGCTGTTTTTAAGACAAAATCGTTCCTCGTGTCTCTAACTATGGTAATTAAAGTAATTTTCCTGAAATATGTACTTTTAAAAAGTCAAAATGGTATTTTTTCCTTGCCCACTTTCAATTTTATTGGTTTTCAACAAAAACTAAATTGTCTATTTTTAACCTTTACATGTCATCTTTTTTTCTGCTTTTTAAAATTTAATTTTAAGTAAATTACTTTAAAAAATATAGAAGTGAGGTCTACAGAGTTTAAAATATCAAATACTACTACAAGGGGTGGGGGTGGGGGGCGGGGAATCAATGTCTCAACCCACCCTCCCTCATTCTTGTTCCCTGTTTTCTCTGCTTTATCTTTCTGGAAATCCTACTATCGGATATTGGGCCTCCTGAGTTGGATCTCTAAGTTTCTCTGATTTTTCCTCCCTCCTTCACCTCCCTCTGTCTTACTTTCTGGGAGATTTAATTACGTTTCCTACATTTCTACTGATTCTCTCATTTCTGCTATCACATGTTTCACTACTAACAGCAGTTTCTTATATCTGTCCCTTCCTTATGGCACTTCGGAAGTAATACAAATTCTTATCCTCCTGAGGCGTCAAAGGCGGTGGCTGTCCCCTCCCCGACGCCGTGGAGCTCACAGAGCCTGCTTCTCCCCACAGATTCCCCTTACCCTCCACGTTCTGAGAATCTGTTTCTTGCTACACTATGGCCTTTCCTCACATGACTGGTAATCCTCTGCTATTTGTTTCTAAAAATTTTAAATTGAGGCTCAAACAGGCTAACTGGATGTTCTGCTTTCATACATGCAATCTGACAACTGGACATAACGATTCACTGCAACACAGCAGCCCAGTTTTTTCACCCAAAGCTACTCAAATATCGATATCTGTACTTCTTTTTCCTTGTGCTAGGCATTTCCCTGAATAGGAATTCCCCAACTTCCTAGGAGGAGGTATATAAGCCTGGCTGGCAGAATACGAAGAATCCCATTATGAAGCACACACACCTCTGTTTAAAGGAAATAATTCCCACATCTTCAGTGTGGCATCTCACTGCAGCCCTCAGCCGTATCCATCTGGGTCTTAGAACCTAAAGTTTCTCTCATTCAAACTCTTCAGGAAATCTCCCGTCTGTTGCTAGGTTAAGAAGGGCAGACGCCTGCTTTTCTCAGCTGGGGAGAGGATCCAGGGGACTAACTACTTTCATGCACACTTTCCACCAAGTTCCCTCTTGTCAGTTCCACCCCGTAAATTCACATGCAGCTAACTGGTAGCTACAACTCCCGAGTCTTCTCGAGGTTTTCCCACACTAATAGGCATGTTTCTGGTTGGCTTTCTCTTGCCTGCAAGCTCAGGATTCTGCTTTCTCTGGTCTTTACCAGAGAAGGTCATTACCATTTATCCATGTATTTTGCAGCCACCAAAAAATTTTTTCTTTTTTTTAAACATCTTTATTGGAGTATAATTGCTTTACAATGGTGTGTTAGTTTCTGCTGCATAACAAAGTGAATCAGCTATACATATACATATATCCCCACATCCCCTCCCCCTTGTGTCTCCCTCCCACCCTCCCTATCCCACCCCTCTAGGTGGTCACAAAGCACCGAGCTGATCTCCCTGTGCTATGTGGCTGCTTCCCACTAGCTGTCTATTTTACGTTTGGTAGTGTGTATATGTCCATGCCACTCTCTCACTTCTTCCCAGCTTGCCCTTCCCCCTCCCTGTGTCCTCAAGTCCATTCTCTACATCTGCGCCTTTATTCCTGTCCTGCCCCTAGGTTCTTCAGAACCTTTTCTGTTTGTTTTTTAGATTCCATATATATGTGTTAGCATACGGTATTTGTTTTCCTCTTTCTGACTTACTTCACTTTGTATGACAGACTCTAGGTCCATCCACCTCACTACAGATAGCTCAATTTCGTTTCCTTTTATGGCTGAGTAATATTCCATTGTATGTATGTGCCACATCTTCTTTATCCATCCATCTGTCAATGGACACTTAGGTTGCTTCCATGTCCTGGCTATTGTAAATACAGTGCAGCACCGAATTTTACTAACATCGTTTGTCCATTGTTGTCTCATACTCCCATTCTTACCTTCATAGATCAGTGCCTTTTTAATTCATTTATATTCATTTTAGCAGGTTTCAAGGATAGCATAAAAATTAATTTGTATTCAAACAACCATATTTATATCACGTCTGTAACAGTTAAATATCTCCCAATTAATAAAAATTAAGAGACCTTAGAAAACATCCAGTCCAAACACCTAATTTCATACTGAGGAAACTGAAGTCCACAGAATGATATGATTTACTCAAAGTCACTTGATAAAACATAAAACCACGAGATTCCATATAAGAAGGAAGAGCATTTTATCTGCAGTTTTCTTTCTCCATTTAACTTCTATTAGTCTTTTGCTCACAAAAAGTATACAGACGCGCATTCTGACCATCAGAAGCACTTCTGCTCTCTTCTTTGTCACCACACACTGCGCGTTAGTTGCATCACCCTGGTCAAGTTACCCTCGTGAGTTGCAGACGCCTCATCCACAACACAGGGGTCAACCACTTACTGAGGGCGCCTGATGTATGAATTAATACGAAAATGCACAAAAATCACCTAGCAGAGCAGCCGGCAGGCTGTGCACTCTCTGTGCTGACAAATCAGTAGGTAATGAATGGATGAATTTAACTATCGTGAACATACATAAATTGGGGTGAACAATGCCCACCTTGTACGTGTACAAGGCTGCCGAGAAGCCACCACCTGGAACAACACGGCCGCACCCAGGCCACCCAGGTGGGTCGAGGGGCTGAGCTCTGTCTGGGAGTCGGGGTGTGAGGTAGAACCAGGCATGTGGATGCTGACCATCTGCACAGCTGAGCCACACAACGGCAATGGGCTTGGTTGCCCGACGGGGGTCTCCCCCCAGGCTGCGTCGCCTCCCCGGCAGGCGTTTGGAGATGGCCAGAGTACCTGGTGACAATGACTGTGGGCCACCACTGCATTAGTGGTCAAAGGCCTAGCGTCACACAGCGTGGATGGGGCTGCCCTTCACAGTGAGGAAGGAGCCTGTGTAAAACGTCAGTCATGCCTGTTCAGAAGCCCTGCTGGCTCAAAGGAGGCGCCACAGACCTGTTGCTTACTCTGCCTCTTCGGCTCGCAGCCCTTACTGCTGTCTCCCTCAGATCACAAGTTCACTTCCTCCAGGGGTTCTAGAAGATACCCCACACACACACGCACCCCTGAAGCCCACCACGGCCTGTACCTGCGACAGGGCCTACGGGCTGAGCACGGTTCAGACTTTAAATGAGCAACTGAGCAGCACAGCCCTCCGATCTGCCGAGTTCTACGACCCACCGAGGGTCCGGCCACCTGCTGCCGACCTCTGAGGCGCGTTGAGGGCTCCCTCTCGCCCGCGGTGTGACCCCAGCAGTGTCCTCAGCCCCACCGAGTCCACCATGGCTGAGGTTCACGGGGTCATTAAGCTGAAGGGGCATCATGAAGACGAAGAGGTAGCGCATCCAGCGCTGAGGGCTGGGACCTGCTGAAAGCCACCTGAGCCCACGCACCCTCTGCACTCCTGGGAACGGCTCACTGCAGAGAACTACTCTTCCCCAGACGCGGGCGACCCCCTTGCTTCTCTAGGCTGGACACAGACCCTCCTTTCTTTGCGCCATAAAAGATTAGCTGTTCTTTTTGTCTCCACTGATCAGTCAGAGAATGTCCCTTAACCGAACTCCAGTTAAGCTTCTGTCCTTTCCTCACACAGGCAACCTGGGCTGGCACAGGCCTCTGCGACAGGCCCTCTGCTCCCAGGGACCAGCCTTGGGCGAGACGCTCTCTGCCGCCTGTCCCTTCCCACCCCCCGTCCTGTCCTCCACCCACGTCCCTGCACCTTCCCGGCCTCGTCCACTCTC